CTGAGATCTTCAGAATTTGGCTGGTGACATTATTTCTTTCTTTTTTTTTTTTTGGCTTTTTTTTTCAAAGTTTTATTGATAAACAGCAATGAGACAGTTTCAAATCAAATCGGAAGTTCAGTTTCAACAAATAACACACTGCATATATTCTTCTTAGTGGTTAATTGCTGTACAAGATGTGGACTTGTGATCCTATTTACAAACACCATTAGAACAAATCATTCTATTCATTAACAAAATGTAACTATATATCTATGCCAACCTCTTTGAATACACAGATACAAAATGGACATTCATCGGTATACCCCATTTTTTCTAAGTTCCGTTATTGAATATTATAGGTGTGTAAACTCAGCAAAATATTCTAAAAGAGTCCAGTAGCCCATAATAGCATTGGGTCTTCTGTTTAACTGGCAATGTCAGAAATTATTGACCTGAGTCCCCCACAGCTCAACTTAACAGCATGGCTTTATTTCTTATATTTCGACTTCATACTTTTCTACTGGATGGTTAAGACCAAGGTAAAGCAAGACCTATGCAACAAGAGTTGTAGCTTTTTTCACCTCAGTTTCTTATGCTCTACAGTGAGTTCAATTGTAGTCCATGTTTAGGAAGTCATTGTTAGAGTCAAGTGAAATAGTTACTTAAATAATAATGCCTAACACTTACTGAATGCATGCTAAACATTCAGTAAGTGTTATAATTTTGCTTTGCCAGTGGTGGTCAGCATAATATTTTGGTAATTATGAGACAATTTTCAGTAGCAGTTGGAATGAAAATGGTGAGAACTTTTAAACTCCTGTTTTTTGTTTTTGTTTTTGTTTTTGTTTTTTTTTTTTTTTTTTTTTTGAGACAGGGCTTTGTAGGCCAGATTGGTTTCAAACTTGCAATGATCCTCCTGCTTTAGCCTTCAATATGTGCTACCATGCCCAACCTAAATTCCTTTTTTTTTTTTTTTTTTTTGTGCTAAGGATTAAATTCAGGATCTTCTGCTTGCCAGGCAGTTGCTTATGCCTCTGAACTATCTCCCCAGCCCTGTCTTTCTTTTTTGTAAACACTGTTTCTTAACTACCAGTCTCTTCTTTTTTTAAACTGTATTTTTTTATTTATTTATTTATTTATTTATTTATTTATTTATTTATTTGGCAGAACCGGGGACTGAACTCAGGCCCTTGTGCTTGCCAGGCAAGCACTTATTCTACTGAGCCATCTCCCTGGCCCTACCAGCCTCTTCTATCCACATGCATGACACCCACGGCCTTCCTGTGTCATAAGGGCAAAGGGTGCACCTGGGCTCCACCTCACCCGTAGGTGCTGGATTCTCTGTCGGAAACGTCCTGCAGCCTGGGTGCTTCGGAACATCCCTGATGGTGAGCTGGGTTTTCTGCTTTCGGCTCATCACACAAACCTCAACTTTGGGTCCTATCTCTTGGAAATAATGCTCGATGCACAAAAAGCGGTACAGTGGTGTACTAGGCCAGTATGTTTAAAGCAGCAAAAGGAGGCAACCATGTTTTCTGAGCCAGCAGGTAGGACCACATACAGTGCCTACACAATGAAATGTAGCTTTCATGCTTCTCCGCTGGTGGTGCCTTGATAGGGCTGTAGTAAAAGTAAAGAAGGAGAGTAGTATGGCTTAAAGGGGATTCTACCTAGGACTTGGGAGCCCCCACTGTGATCCCCAGGCCTGCACCCCAGGGGCTGACCTCTGTGCATATCTTTCCTTTTCGCTCTGCAGTTTAAGGATTGTACTTATCCTTACTGCCCTGACTAGGCCAGGAATCCTGCGGCCTAGTGTCTCTACAGCGCGCACTAATTGTTTAGAACCACACACAGTACTCCATGGGAAAGTCTGTGGTAGTGAGTAAATTCGGACAATGAGAAAATGGCCAGGTGTGGAGAAAAAAAAGAAAGCAGGAATATCAGGGTCCTTGATATTCCGTGAAATCATTGCAGAGTTGCTCCTCCTGCCTCTTCCGTGGGCCCTGGTGGTCTTTCTTATACATCTCTAGCTTGCACATAGATTATCAATAATTCTCATCCTGATTACCTTTCAGAGAAAGAATAGTAAACACCGACAGAGAGTATTTCCATTCACTATACTCAGCTGAAACCCTTTCCAGGTAGACTTCAGAGAAAAAGTTTCCAAGATTATAAATTTTACCCAGGCACCAACACGTAAAAAAGGAAAAGTGGGGGGCGGACCCACTTCAGAGGATGGGGCCTGCCAGTCAGCTCACATATTCTACACCCACTGGATATAAGCATCAGCCTTTGGGAAAGGTGACTGTCACTTACCTTCTCCTCTGCCTCTTTCTGATGTCCTGGAATTACGAAGGGTAGGTTCCACACTCAACTGCTGCACTCGTGGCTTGCTATGCCTAGCCTCTGGATTCTGATACTTCAGCAAAAGGTACTGAAGGCAGTTTCCTAGCAACACCTGTATTCAAAAGAAGAAAAAGAAAAGCTTAAAAAACACACCGTTTATTTTCCCCCAAGTTAATTCCTACTTATAACCAGAGACGATAGTGGGTAGCAAAGAATGTGTGGTACACATTAAGTAGTTCATAGGAAACATTTAGGCGGCCTGGCTGGGTCCTTCCTTGCAGGAAGCTCAGGGTGGTCGGGGATTGCAGCTCATCCAGTGGCCCCCAGTGACCATGTCAGTCCAGAACAGCTGCCCGTTGTTGTCTGAAGGGGCACGGAACCGGGCAGCACAGCCGTTGTGTCCCCAGAAGCTGGGCAATTACTCCTGCCTGCTGCCTGGAGGAGCCCGAGGATCTGTTCTCTGGACTACGTGTCTGAATGGACATAGGAGAAAATCTAGAAGGTGCACCCCACCTCTGCAAGCTTACTTCGTGGAACCCCATTGTTGAAAAGGTTCCAGGCATTTGCTCCATCACCTCACAGCTCATGCTGCGCGCCAAGAAAACATCCTCTGGAAAAGCAGCAGCGGGCTCTGCTGTAGAGGGGCACGCCCACCCCGCGCCCTGCCTGCCTGAGGTCTCTAGATCTGGGGAGTAGTACCTCCCTACAAGGGGGACTTTAAAAGGAAGCTCCTTTAAAAGGAAGTGGTTTGCGTCTGACTGCAGAAAAACCCACAGTTCGAGTTTCAAGCTATAAGCTGCTAGTCATTTCAACTCTCCGGATCTTTCACCCAGAAAGTCCCCGCGCAGGAACCTCGCGGGGGCTAAAGATAGCAAAAGCAAACTCCCCCTGCCTTCAGCTGGGGTCCCAGCGCAGCCCTGGGATTACAAAGCCTGCTGGGGAGGCTCTCCGCAACCGCCTGGAATAGCAGGGCGCGGAGCTATCTAGCTCGCACCTCCACAGTGAGTGGGCGTGGAACGTATTAGGGGAAAGCAACAGCCGCTCTGGTTTGGGGCGCTGCTCTGTCACGTGGCGCGGCCGCCCGCCGCCTAGAGCTTGGGCCGAAGGCTGCGGAGGGCTTAACCCAAAGAACAGTCCCCCAGTGAAAACCAGAAATCCAGCATTTCAGTAGAGCCCTTGCAGGAGGTGGAAGGCTGTAGCCGCAGACGTGGGTGTGCACCCCAGGGAGTTGTTAGAGTGTCTTGGACAAGCAAACCCAGTTGAAACCCGGCGTCAGACTGGGTAGAGACACAGGGAATGACCGCCCGGCACTACCTGCGGGGTTCTGGGTGGGCGGGCACCGGATCCACGCTCACTTCGCTGGATTTGTTGTCTTTCATTTTGGGGAAGTTCGTCAAGCCCGCATTCCTGCAGTTGCCCCACGCTGGAGCGATGTTTAGCGGCTCCTCGGGCTTTACACTTACTCTCGTTTTGAAAGCCAGAAGTCCCGGCCCTGCCCGGCAGCCTCCCAGCACGCCCGGGGCGTGGGAGAACCAGGCAGTGCCTCCCAGACACTTGTCCAGCCACCCGAGGGTGGGGCGGTGCGGCGTGGGCACCTCACCCTCCACGTTCCACCCGCAGACACCCGGGCTGCCGCTGCCCGCCCTGGCAATTTTTTGACTTTCTTGAGCTTCCATGGAAATTTCCTGGCGGGGAGCACAGGGTTAATTCTCCCAGGCGTGGCTGTCAAAGCCCCCGGGCTACTCCTTCCCCGCGGGGATCGGCTTCGGAGCACTCCGGCCCACCCCAAGGCGCTGGGAAGGATGTCCTGGCTCTCTGGGGCTGGCCGCCGGGCGCCCGGAGGATGGGAGAGCGCAGCCCGCAGGCGGCGGTGAGGCGCGGGAAGCAGCGGGCGCTCGGCCTCGAGGACCCAGCGGTCGCGACCTCGGGGTACCCGCCCCGCCCGGGCGCCCTGGGGCCCGGCTAGAGTCCCGCGGCGGGGCCATCAGCTCGCTCGCACCGCCGGCCAGAGGATGGCGAGACCCGGCGGGGCAGCGCTTCCCGGCGCGGCCGGGGCCTCTGCGGGGCGCCGTGCGGATCTCACCCTCTGAGCGCTACCCGGGGAGAACTGAAGCCCACCCGGCTCGGAGACGCGCCCGAGGAAGGAGACGACCTCGGCCGGGCGCGGGGCGCAGCCGGAACAGGCTGGGGGCGCCGGCGCGGGGTACGCGCGTGGGAGCGCGCCCGAGTCGCCCCCTGCACGCCGCGCGGAGGAAGGAGTGGCTGACACGGGAGCCCGAGGGCGCCGGGACACCTTGCGAGGGCGCCCCGGGCAGGTCCAGGTCTCGGACAGGAGCCACAGGCGGCAAGGACTCTGGGCGCCCCGGCCTCCCCACGCCCACCCCGAAACCAGGTCCGCGTCCCCCGTCGGCCCTGGGGGGCGCTGCGCGCGGGCGCCCCGTCGCTGCCCGGCGCGCAGCAGCC